ATCGTGAATATAATTTGTCTTCTGAGTTTTTAGTTGTGCAGTATGTCTTAAAATGTCATGTGCAGTAAACAACTTGGAGGAATAAACACCTATATTTAGACAGGGCTTGGTGATTTTTAAGTCGATTTTATATTTAAATGCAAAGCACTTTATCTCTCATTATATGCTAATGTTCTAGCATAGCCAAAGCTGCAGAGATAATGGAAAACAATTTAGTATTATCATGAATATAGTTACAGGAAGGAGGTATTTGTTAAAAAAAAGCAAGCTATAGAAGAAGGGTATGCATTTTTAGTGAGAACTTGTTTATGAGTGTACAGTGAAAACATGAGATATACTGACATGAGTGCTTTGCATTAGTGTTGTAACTAATGTTCGAGTTGTCCATTGGGGTCAAAGGCAGATGTTTCTTGCCCTTGCATGTCTGTATAGGAGGGATACACCCTTGTTCTTGCTGGGGAGTGCTCTGGGGTCATGCCATGCCTGTGTGTGTGTGTGTGATGCAGGAGCAGGGAGGTTTGCAGAAGCTGGGCAGTGGGAGAGACTAACTGAATTAATGCAAAGGCACAAACAAGAAATGACCTTGTCTGGGGAGTGTGTTTCCTTGTGAGTAGGAACAAGCAGTAATTATCCTTCTTTCAGTGCTGAACTAACAAGTAATTACTGTTATTCCTTAATTAAAGTATGCAAATTGAAGATTTTTTTCCTCCCCAGACTGAGTTAAATACCGTTATTCACAACTGACAAAAGTTCACAATATTATTTTGGTTCGTCACTAAAAGGGTTCAGTAACCAAAAGAAAGCTCAACAAAATAAGCAGTGAACCGGGCCAGACGTGGGTCAGGGTGTACAAGACCTGCTCAGAGTGTGTGGCTCTGCAGGCTCTGGGGGTGCCTACAATTACACACACTGTTTACAGCTTGAGTTTTGGTGAATGCACCTATCTGCTGGTGCTGCTGCTGAAATTGGGGCCTGGGAGGGCAGGGGCTTGTAAATCAGTCCTGCAGGATATGGGACAAATGACATGCCTTTTATAGTAAGTTTGTATGAACGACAAATTTGTAAGAGGTTACAGAGTTTGCAAAGGAACTGGGTCAGTTATGATACGTAGAGAGCAATCCTAGGGGAGGCTGTTTACTCTCCCCTCACTCTCATTAATTCACTTGTGAATTTTTCACTGGGCAATTGGTACAGATCTTAAGCAGCTGCTCCACGAGCGTTACTTTGCGGTACACCTGCAGAGTGTGAAACTGTACTAGAGCTCTGAAAAGCCAGATGCAGACCCTGACAAGAAAAATTAGAAGATGGGTTTGTGGCTGTGGCAATGAACTTGATTTGGCTGCTGCATTTTCTGAGGGACTTGTGACTGCAGAAATCATCTAAAAACCTCTCTTCCTGATTTTAACAGCAGGGGTAATCCTAGATGTTATTTTCTAACCTAAATAATTCTAAGGTCATTGAGTTCAACCATTAACCCAACAATGCCAAGTCCACCACTAGACCATGTCTCCAAGTGCCACATCTACATGTCTTTTAAACACCTCAAGGGATGGTGACTCCACCGTTTCCACAGGCAGCCTGTTTCCAGCATTTGACAACCCTTTTGGTGAAGAATTTTTTCCTAATGTCTAATCTAAACCTCCCCGGTACAACTTGAGGCTGTTTCCTCTTGTTCCATTGCTTGCTATTCAGGAGAAGTGACCAACTCCACCTTGCTACAATGTCCTTTCAGGTAGTTGTAGAGAGTGATAAGGTCTCCCCTGAGCCTCCTTTTCTGGACACCCCCAGCTACCTCAGCTGCTTCTCACAAGACTTGTGCTCCAGACCCTTTACAATCTCCATTGTCCTTCTGTGGACACACTCCCACACCTCAATGTCTTTCTTGTAGTGAGGGGCCTAAAACCGATCAGGATTCGAGGTGTGCTCTCACCAGTGCTCAGTACAATGCTGCCTAGCCTCAGAGGGGTTTCTGAAGAAAAACCTGTGAAGCCTTGGAAGATTTACAGATCCTGTGCTATTGGGTAGGGCTACCTGAGGCAGAAATTGAGAGCCGAGTAGAGCCAGGGCTCTGACTTCCCCAGGCAGAGCGTTTGGCATAGGACTTGCCAGTTGAGGAAAGGGAGCTGCTTCCTCATTCTGTGCCATGCTGAAATCCCAGGTTGCCCTGTGCCTCTCTGCCAGGTGTGCTTGCTGCCTAGGTATCTAGCTGCTGCTCTGCAGGAACACTGAGTTGCTGTGCCATCTGAGTGCACCTTGAGTAACATGTTTTGCTGGTCAGAGACATAATGGACAAAATTTTAACAAAAATTCTCTAAAGAGAAGCCAAATGACCAATTTACACCTAGCTGGGAAAGGAGTAAGAATGAAGTAAAAAGTAACTTTTGAGGTTAATAGTCAGGATGAGCCTTTAAGGGCAAAACAGACCAAGATTTTCAAGTAGCAAATATGTTGTTTTGGTGTAATTTGTATTGAAGCATAGAGGAATAGTAATTTGTATAAAAAATGGAGGAACTTGTGTCAACTATTTTGCATGGAATTAATTAGCTATGCCTTTCGGGTGCCTGAGGTTTGCCAAGGCCAGTGAGAATAGAGGTGTTAAAGGGCAAGCCCATTTTAACTATTGCAACTAATCCTTGTTGGTTTTTTTAAACAACCAATGACATTGTCATGAAACAAGAAAATAACTGGGTTTGTTTGTTTTGTTTTTCTAAGACTTGTTAACATCTCCCAGTGCTTCTGGCTACAAGTATGTCTCATGAAAAACTACTTTTAACATTTTTTCTGACTCCAATATCATTGACCCGAACAGTGTTTTGTTTGTTTTTTTATATTAATGAGCCTGATGATGTTCGCAAAGCAAATACTATGTATTAATGCCTTCAGGTTGTTATCTGAGAGGCAGAGAGCATATCAGTGGAACAGGAAGTGTGGGGTAACAGAATGTCACAGGAATCCTTATTTCCCCCTAAATGTGGCTAATTAGATGTTTCTTTGTCATGTAATTTTAGTAAAATATCTTGGAGCAAGTTAACAAAGGTTATCCCTGTTATCTTGTTTATCTTGTGCATTTTTTAAGGGGGTTTACATCTGCACAGCAACACACTGTGCTTTCTAACTTGAACATGAAAAATGATCTGAAGCCGATAACAAAAATACATTCTTTCTCATCAAAAATGTATACTTTGTTATCACAAGCAATAGGAAGGCAAACATCATTGTCCATACCCATTTAGAAACAAGAGAACTTCACTGCATTCTTCACTGTGAAATTTTTTCCTGGTTTATTGCTTTATATTTTATTTTGGAATTGGTACTTGATGTGGTTTATTCAAAAAGAGCTAGAAGAACCTGGCACAAAGAAAGGCTATAGATTTACAGAGTACAAGGTAAAACCAGGGATACAGAGGTGCCAAATTAGGTTTTTAATCTAATGGCCAATTTCTGACCCATGTAATGAGAAAATTACTCTGTGTTAATTCCAAGTGTCACCTTGAGGGCATTACTTCTCCTTAACAGAAAGCTAATACCATCATCACTGAAATGGCACTATTAATTACTCACATACAAATAAAATGTTATACATTCAAGATAAGCCAAATAAATCAAAACATTCTTCTCTGGGATTTTTTCTTCTATTTGCTTTGGATTGATTTTGAAAAATGGGAGAGTGGCTTTCTGGTTTGAATGAATTTCTCCCCCTGCTCTGACAGCTGGAGCAGGAGCTGTGTGTCCAGGAGGTTTCTGCTTGTAATTACATAGCAAGCCTGCCTCAGTTCAGGAAGGGCCACCTTAAAGGTTGGGCGGGTTTGATTTGCAGCTTTATGGTTTCTTTACTGAAACTGCTGTCTAGAGCTGTAATTGCTGGTATGATTTTTGAAAAGTGAGGTTGTTGTTAGACTAAAAAAAGGACCAAGATACCACTGTGTGGGTAGCTTCAGTATTGCTTTTCTTCCTAAATTGCCACAAGTTTCCCTTTTTCAAAGACCAGACATCATGAAATTCTTTGGGTTTGAGGCAAGATTTTTTTGGGTGAACACTTCTTACTGAAATGAAGCCTTGAAGTACTGAATTTACCTGCAACTGCTTTTGCAGATCCTCATGCTGCATCATATACAACTTGGCCAGAGAGAAATCTGCACTGCATTGTAGACAGTGTCCTGCAGGGCATTTTGGCAATGAAAAGAAAGCAGAAATGAAATGCTGACAGGCAGACAGACATCTTATTTTGTTGCTGCACTGATCTGAAAAACAGCTTTGGGTCAGTTCAAATTTACCTGCAACTGCTTTTGCAGATCCTCATGCTGCATCATATACAACTTGGCCAGAGAGAAATCTGCACTGCATTGTAGACAGTGTCCTGCAGGGCATTTTGGCAATGAAAAGAAAGCAGAAATGAAATGCTGACAGGCAGACAGACATCTTATTTTGTTGCTGCACTGATCTGAAAAACAGCTTTGGGTCAGTTCAGTAACAGAAACTGCTTTATTTTCATGGGGAAATCGTTCTGCTTTTAGTGGTTTTGTACAAGCCACAGAGCTGGTAACTGATAGATGCTTTTAGTTTTTGTTTGACTATCGGCCTTACAGAATACAAAATGAAAGACACATTCCGGTATCACTGTGTTTCTTGAGTTTTTCAAACCTCCCAAACCAGGGCCAGTGCTCAGCTGAGAGATAGGAGGGACTGCTTCTAACAGAGTTTTGATGTTTTTTGTTATTTGTTTAGACTGTAGCAAAAATCTTTGAGTCCAGCTGAGCACTGGAACAGATTGCCCAGAGAGGTCAGGGATTCTCTGCCACTGGAGGTATTGAAGAGCCGTCTGCATGCAATCCTGAGCCATATGCTCTAGAGTGGCCCTGCTTGAGTAGGGAGGTTGGACCAGATGACCCATTGTGGTCCCTTCCAACCTAACTGATTCTGTGATTTTTTTAATTCTCTCCTGTGCTGAGCCTGGGCAGTGCATGTGCTAGCACCAAGCCCAGCACACTGGCACAAGAAGGATGTACTGGAGACATATATATGAGCAGGAGGAATATGGTGTCTGTGTTGTAGCCCCCAGTGGGGAACCCCCACCACCTAAAAAGCATCAGAGTAAGAGCGACCAAATCACATTGTTCTGGTTGTCTTTTAATTAAAATAGTGTTGTGGCAGTTTTCTATGCAAAAAAAGCTTTAAAAAGTATCTGTTGTCAACTTTTGTGTTATGTGGAGCAGCAACAGTAAACCCACTTCTGTTTGTTTGTTTAGATGACTTCCACTTACCTCTCAGTGTTGTACCAGCTGTGACAGAGGCCCTTGGCTCCAAGACGAAAGGGGAAGATTTGCACAAGGAGAACAGACCTTTCCACTTCTGTGAAAAAACGACCATGGACTTGTCAGATAGTGACCGTCCTGTCAGCTTTAGTTCCACTTCCTCCTCAGCATCCTCCAGGGACAGCCACTGCTCCTTTGGAAGCAGAATGACCTTGGTTTCAAATAGCCACTTGGGTTTGTTCAACCAAGATAAAGAAGCAGGTGCCATCAAGCTAGAACTGGTCCCAGCCAGGCAATTTTCCAGCAACAAGCCATGCAGAAACAGCACTGTGGAGCAAGAGGATCCAGAGGAAAGCCTTGGAAAAAGGCCAAGTATGCCAAGGAAAGCAGAACCAAAAGGAGCGAGCAAAAACTGTGCAATGTCTCTGGTCACAGAGCCCACCAGTCCGAAGCTCCTCTATGTTGACAGAGTGGTCCAAGAGATTCTGGAGACAGAGAGGATGTATGTGCAGGATCTAAAAAGCATTGTCAAGGTAGGAGTCTTGGTTAGGATGGTGTTAACTGTTCCATAGTGCTAGTTTTTACATTGTTTGATTTCACAGGAGGACAGATGGACTTGACAATGGAACTGGCATTTACTGGTCTTTATAAATTAATGTAACATCATTGTTCCTGTGTGTTTCTAGTTTTTATTCAATTACATAAATCTAACCTGTTACTATGTGTTCATGAAGAAATAACAGAAAAATCCACATCCAACAGCAGCAGTAGTGAACAAAGATCAGTAAACTCTTTGCCGTAACAAAACTTTTTTTTCTATATTTACAAAAAAATTTACATTGCCATGTGCCCTGGAATGTATAGCAAGAAGCAAACAGCACACAGTTCACTTGCCTCTTTATCTGAAGGGTCTCACTTATTGACAAGTCCCCCCCCACCAAATCCTAGTCCTGCAAGTTCTTTGCTGCCTTTTCCTCCCTCCCTTTCATGGAGCTCACAGCTGCAGTCTGTTCTTTCTATGTCCTTGTCCTGTAGTATTGAATGTGGAATATGTATTTGCTGGAAAATACTATTGTCTGGCTGTTATATGAAGGAATTACATTTTCTTTAATACTAATTCTGAATTGATGTTGCTAATAAGTGGGTGTAGCATTTATTAGCAGCAGTGAAGCTTTGGTCAAATCCTCAGCCTAACAATATCTTTCATTTGCCCTTTCTAGTACACAGAAAAATATGGATGAGCTCTCCTGTGGATTGTTCTTTTCACTCTGTGTACTGTGCATCATGTTGTTTTGTGGTTCTGAAGGTGACAATTGAGTCTCTTGGCTATTGTTTGTAGTCTACTCACTCACACAAAGAAGGGTTTCTTGGGAGGCACATGTTTAATGCACTGTTTGCAGATCTTACAGCTCTGGGTAGCTGTATGAGGTCATCTGCACGAGGAAGTATCAGCCAGCTGGAGACACTCTCTGCACCTGTAGCCCCAACCCACCTAGTCCCTCAAGCAATGAGTGGGAAAAAAACATGAAGGCTTTGATATCACAAATGCACATTATGACTAAACACCAGTAGCCCACCCTGCAAAGTTCTCACAAGAGACTTCATTGGTTTCCTTAGCTGGTGCTGTTTCTCTATATTCAACTGTTGCCCAAGCTGCATTTTGGAGTATTTAAGGTTGTCATATGCTGCAGTACCAGTCAGCTTCTATGCGTAGTCACCACTCATGAGGCATGACTTCCATGGTTTTGGAAACCTTAGTCCTCACCTTACTTATACAGTAAACTGTACAACTTGAGAAACTGAAAATGTAATTAAGATCGTGAAACGCATTTTCCATTTACAAATAGGAAGACCAATAAGTGCTTGCAAGAAATACTTTAAGCATCACTACAGTAGATGTAAATTAGGCAAATGCACTTCAAGTTATGAAAGAACTAGAGAAATTGAGAACTTGTGAAATGCCTAAGCCTATATCCTGCAGCAACTAATAATGAATCTTGAAAGCTTTGTGTGGCACTAGACAGCTTATTTGAGAGGAGGAGTGGTTGGCAGCTAGGTGCTGAGGATTCAAGGTCTTCACCATCTGGGAAAGACCTCCTTTGAGGACAGTGGGGAACCAGCTGCATCAGCCTCTGCAGAATGTTCTTTGCTTGGTTTCAGGGGAGGGAGGTATGACTGGAAGTATGCTACAGAGGAGCCCATTTTAGGTGTTTGTCAGGATTCCCTTCTCCACAAGTTACCTTAGCAATGCTATAATAATTTACCTAAGCAAGGGTGGGGGTTGTGAGAAGTTTGGGAAGACTCCACAGACAGTAGGAGTGCTGTAGCTTTATAGGACTTGATTATCTGGCCTTCTGTGACGTTAGGCCATTTAGTTTGGCAGGCAGATGACTGGTGCTGAGCTAAACTAAGGTGAAGGGAAGCAGCTTGATCTGTCTTATTTTCCAGATAAACATAGGTCAGATTTGCAGCAGGTTAGGAAATGGGATGAGAATGGGAAAAGGGGAGCTGGAAGAGAAGTCAAAGGGCAGCTGCTGCCCAAGAAGTGTGTGGGAACTGAAGAGATACATTGAGGTGGGAGCTGGTGGAGAAAAGCATAAGAAAATGAACCAGTGGTAAGTGGAGAGAGAGAAAATCATTAGAGGGAAAATAATATGTGGAAATGAAGGAAAACCCATGAAGTGGAAAGTTAAAGTACGAAATTGGTTGGAACTGGAGCTCTGGTGAGTTTGTAGCTGACTGCAGTAAAGAACCACAGAACAGGTAATGTTGGAAGGAACCACCTGTGATGTCCTTCCCATCTTTCTGTATTATTCCTTTATGTCTCCTCTGCCCTGGAATTGCACAGCATGCTGCTTCACACTGTATAAGATTTGCAGAGAGTCACTGAGACACAGGAACAATCTTCTCCATGTTCTTGCTTCAGAGGAGAGATCTGAACCAGTTGTCACTGGTGGCATCTGAGAATGGCAGTTGTGCGTTAAGACCTTCTGAAGCCTGAGCTGAACCTTGCAAAGGACCAGTGCTAAAAGTTCCTGTTGAGAATATGCAAACTTGAGAGGTTTCTCCTTCCCTCCCTCCTCCAATATCAAATATAGGGGGATTGACACAAATTCAGCAAAAGACCTACTCACAGAAAACAAAGTCTCCATTATGCTTGACTCTGCTATTGTACCTCCTTGAGACGTGAGGATATGGTTCATGTCCCTGCTAGTCAGCCTGGGGGTGCTTGTCTCTCAGGGGAAAGGTCACCAGAATTTTTCAACATGAGCAAAAAAAGGGCATTCTTTCTCCAAAAGCCCTGGGGGGATGCTTTTGCTGAACTGTCCTAGAACAGCTCAGCAGGGAGGCAGGTTTCTGGTCTTGAAAGCTTCATCTGAGGTGAGCATGTCTGTTGAAGTTATATACTGCTTGAGGGTGGAGGTATGCGTTGCAAGGGGAAATATTAGACATTTGCAGTAGATACGTGTTGTGCCACCAATGATTAAGGGAAATCCTTCTGAGAGGAAGTCAGTATCAGAATTGTATTGTTCCCAGTTTCTTGGTGCTGCTGTTAGAGGATGTATCTTGCTACGTGTTAGGCCATTAGTTAAAATGACAGCTCTGAAGACTGCAGTGCATTGTCACTTTGGATGTGTTAATAAAAGCATAGCTGCTTGTGCACTGGCTTGCTGAATAGCATAACTCTGAAAATTAATTTCTTCTAGATTCAAGAGGTGAGTATCCCAATATAGCTAAGGCATCCCATAATGTTTGTTCCCACGTTATACTTAATTTCTCTGTGACCTCTTTTTCTGCGGCTGCTAATCTGCATTGCTGACAGAAGTTGCATGTGAAGATGTTACTCGGGAAAAGTACCTCTGTTTCACAGTACAAAATTCCAGCACCCACCAAAAAAAAAAAAAAGTTTAATTAGCAGAGCTGCTCTTTTTGAGCATTTGGTAGGTGAGAAACTTCACAGAATGCTTCAATGGAAAGTTTATTGAATGTTACTGAGAAGCAAACTCTGATGCGTGAGAATGTACTTATACCCTCTTGTATAAGTATCCTAAATTTTTGGTACTGCTGTAACCATCAGGCTGTGATGATGGCATTCTTCTGAAGTTTTTCATCACTTCTGTTTCACCCAGTGAAAGAAGCAGTGATATGTGGTCTCACAGCTAGTATTCTTCAGTATATTAAGGTCAGAAGTTAGTGTCAATGTCTTTAAAGCCATAGACCAGTATCTCAGCTCTGCGTATAGGTACTGCAGTTTTGCAAGTTTGGACTGTATGGCAAAGACTGCTGACATACTTAATTTATTTGTCTTCAATCTTCAGTGCAACAGAGAGAACTTGGGTGACAGCTGCATGATTTTTAAGCAGTTTACTTTTAATTTCCTCATAAACAGAGTGATGATTTCAAAACAGGCTCACTTCTCTGGGGCCACCTGCAGAGAGAAAAAACATTAAGTTTAGATTTAAAGCAAAACAATAATATTCAGAGTGCAGTTCTTTCTTTGACATTTGCTTTGCTATGGCTTTAAAAAGCAGTTAAAGCAGGTTAGCACACGTGCTGCCCTTTCTGACTAGGGATCGATCACTATGCTTTTAGAAAATTTGGATGAGTGACTTAAATTACCTGCAAAACAAATAGTAGAGTCATGACAGTGTTAAGTTTAACTGTGCTTAGTATTTGTTACACTTTTGAACTGAACTTTCTCACTGCTTTTTTTTTTTTCATCCAGGAAGAAAGGGGTGTGTCAAATTCTGATTGGCATCTTTAGGGAAAGCTTGGCTTAAAACAAGGGAAGTTTTCTCCAGTAACATTGAGATAAGGTAGCTGAAACTAAAGCATCTCAGTACATATCCAAGAGGCCTTCTCGAAGTCTGTGAAGTTTAAACAGAGTTACAACAGTATAAACTGGAGTAGAAAAATGTTCCACTTAAAAAGTCTGAATTTGTAAGTGGCTTTATTGGAGAATGTCAGTGTTGTGTTTTGTTTCTGGAGTTGCTGTTTACAAATCAGGACCATAGTGCAGACTGCTGAGAACTGAGGTAGTTAGGGACACCACAACATAAGTTACCAAACAGGTGTGAACAGCTGTTCTGGCTACCCTTGAAGAAACACTTAAAGTAAACCAGACTTCTTTCTTCTGATGCAGTAGGATCTGTTTTCTCTGTAGACTTCTTGCTTCATGTATGTGAGCCATATTAAACATCCCAAAGCAATGTAATGTAATAGAAGTATACACAAACTGTTGTTTGTGTTTGTGTTTTAAATAGTTTTAGATGAGGTTGAGTCTGGAACTCCAGGTTCTTCAACAAGAATGTTTTGCTAGCTACAATGCTGTAAGCTTCTCATCATATGTACCCTTTAATGATTCCAAACAAAAGCAGAAACAAAACACAAACCTTGTTTTGCTGGGCAGGATGAGAAGGATTCTGGGCTTTGGAAAAAGTGGTTTTATAGCTGTAGAGTAAGAATTACACTGTGTTGTGGACAACCAGAAGTAACCTATCAAACTACTTTTGTGGTATAAGCATCTGCTTAT